CTACAGCAGGGGGTGGCGGGGAGGAGCACTGGACATGGAGGTGGCGACGTGCAAAGCGCCCAGAGATAACGTCAGCGTCAGCGTTGGCGCGCTGCAAACGTCATCAACATAATTTTCATCACTCTGAAATATGTACATACATATGCACATACATATGTATGTGCATATGCCTTGATGAAAGACATTCGCCGCTTGCTGAACAAGACACGAACATTGGAGCCGAACGCTGTAAAATCCGAACGCAACGCACGAAGGCTACAACCGGAGAGTGTGAGATCAAAAAGAACAATGTACGGGAGAGAGAGAGATGAGAGTGGGAGAGAGAAACTGTAACTGTGGCCCGCTGTGTGACGTTGGTGGGTGGTATGGGTGGGGGATGGGGGCACACACAATGCAGCGGAAGCAACCCATCGTGTCGCACTCACAAAGAAAATATGCGGACCCCTGTCTGGGTGCCCCTCTCCGTCTCTAACCGTCACACCAAATGGAATCGAATCCACTCGGATCCCCTCCGGATCCCACCCTCTCGACCAACAGGCTACTGCCCTGACACTCCATTTTTTATTTTCCGTCGCATAAAAGTAATTTCTGCAGCTATCACTCCCTCCGCCCGCTTCCCCGCTGGTCGCTGCACTAATTGGAGCACATGATAAAGTAACTTTTTGGAAAACAAAGCCAGGGCTCCCAACCGGAGGAGGGAGTCTGGTCTGGCGAACCACTCAGCCAAACACACACACCACACAACCCACCCACCCACTTAGACTCCAGCTCCCCGACATTTGTCACGAAAAGGTCTCTGGAGTTGCAACCTTTCCATGTTGCCGCTGCCGCTGCCTCTGCTGGTGCTGGTGCTGCACCTTCTCATTTTTCAGTTTTCCTCTGTTGCTTTTGCGGAAAATGTCAAAATATAAATCAATTAACTTTCTGGAAAAACTTTGGGTTAAAACTTTCAAAGCAAATTTATCGCCGCCACATCGTGTTGCATTGCCACAGGGGGGGACGGGGATTGTCGGGTGGTGCGATGGTGGTGCCAGAGGTTATTTATGTGCCGCGAGCAGGTCATTTGTGCGCTATGCGGAATGATGTGTTAGTTGTGGCACCACGGATGGGGTTGCCGTACTCCATTTTGTTGTGGGAATAATGGGTTTTACTAGGTGCTTCGAATGTAGAATTGAATGGGAAATTAACTTTGATTTAATAGAATTCAGTCATTGAATATCCCTGAATTTAAGGAATTACACACATTTTTTGTGAATTGCTGATTGTTACCGGGCAAAACTTTTAATATGATATTCCGCCATTAAGAAATGCATAAGAAAATATATTAGGCAGCGCAACTAGGTCTAATTAGCACAAGCTAGATCCTAGCTTTTATTTCTTTGTTTAAAAATTATGGGCTGATGATCCCCTTTGTTATATTACAATGGACAACTAACAAAACGATTTGTGAAGGTAGAAAATGGCGTTGAAAAAATGTTCAAATAACTGGATTTGCATGGGAAACACAATATTCGTTTGATTTTTTGAAAGAGCGAGCATTCCCACTACAATTCTAACGATTTTCATTTTAGCAGAGCTTTGAACTTGTAATATTAATAGAGCGTTTGATCCTCTCCCAACTATTTTAGAAATATAATTTATCCAATGAATTTATCACCTTGCATCCCCTTCTCTACATCAGCTTTGAATGTGGCCATTATTCATTTGATTAATATTACTATCTCGATTCACACATGTGGCACTTCATTTGATATATCCATCAAATAGCGGCCCCGGCTCGTGCCAACTTTCATTTACCAGCAAACGGATCCGAGCGAAACGAAAGTTCATTAAGTGGGGCCCGTGTTCATAGATAGAAAGTTGATATGTTGCGATAGACAAGCGATATGTAAACACATGAATGTACGTACATATCTTCAAAGGCCTTCATATGCGCTATTTACAAACAAATGAGATGTTCAGCCATACAGACACATTATATACAGATCCACGAGTATATAGGTTCATATATTTATGTGTGTGTATGTACGGCTGGGTAGTTCCATATAATGATAAACAAAGAAATCATTTCAATCGGATTTTTCAAGGCGAGCACATTGAATGTTTACAGAGAGAGGGACACACAGAGACAGAGAGCGTGTGAAAGAGAGAGACATAGAGAGGAAGCTTTCAATCAGTGGAATTCATTAAGTTGAACGAAACTGAAAATAATGAAATAAACAAATTGATAATTCTGTCCGTTGCGTTGCTGCTCTCTCGCTCTGTTCTGCTCTGCCTATTTCTCATCCCTTCTCTCCACTCTCCTGCTTTTCATTTTGTTGGAATTTGACTCTCTGTCAAAGCGATTAGCAAGTGCAGAGTTTACTCTTTGCTTTGCCCTTCTCTCAACCATTTTGTTGTTGCTTTGGCTTTGGTTCATTTTGTTTGATTTGTCGCTTTTTCTGCCCATTACCACTTCCACTCCACTCCCCAGTGCTCACCCACTCCACTCTGTTTCACTACCCCACCGCAAAATCGAGTCAATAGAAATTTGATACTTTTTTCCAAGGAGAGCAGACAAATTCACGCACACAAATACATAACCAACCTACCTACCCCCATACTTAGAGACATGCATAAGTGTTTAAGATACTTCACAAGACACGGCTCTGGATCCATGGACCCAGGGTCTGTGGACTGGGTACTGGGTACTGGCGACTGACAGCGTTTGTGAATTTAGATGCCGATAAGTAAAATGTATCTGCGGCCAAAGCTAAAAATCGAGGCGCAAAATTCAATGCGAAAGCAACAAAACAACAACTAGCACAATACCAAAAGCGTTGCCAGACAACAACAACAAAAGCAACAAAAAGGCTCCAACAAAAACAACAACAATAATAATAGCTTGCATAAATGGAACCAGTTTTGTGGCCGAGGGAACCAAGCAAAAGTCGGAGACTTTAGTTAGCGTCAGCTTTGAGTAAATTTATGCGGCCGCTTTCAGAGGCGGGCAGGCTGGGGGGGGCACAGAGGCAGAGACAGAGACAGACAGACGGCGGCCTCTGTTTAGACATCCAACTCGAACCAGAGTCTGCGACAGAGTCAGAGTCAGAGTTGGACCCGAAGTTGGAGTCTCGCTTACCCGTCCCACCACTGCTGCGGAGGCCTAACCTGGTCGAATGCCGAATGCCCAAAACAAAACCGACAGACGACATGTGAATATTAATGCTGGGACTTCGGACTCCACTCCGAATCCGGGGATCGCAACGGATCGCAACGGATCGCAGCGAACGAACCCAGTTCTGGTGACAAAATTTGTAGACTCTGCCGGTTCTTATTCCGCTTCTCCTTTTCGTGCGCGCAAAGATTTTTCGTTTGTGCGAATTGCAAATGAGAACACCAAATCAGAAACGAAATGGGAACACTGGAAGAAAAATGGATAATGATGATCCAAAGATCATTATCATAGACCCCGGAGCCCGATACTATTCTTACTATTTCTATTGGATATTTAAACATCAATAGTACATTATTCATTATTCAATTTTTATGGTACAGTTCAGTGGAAACTGACATCTGATATTAATACTCCCCAAAATAATAATAAATATAATATTTTTAAGTTGAAACTTTAATGTTAATTCAATATATAAGTATTATTTGAGGTTTCTTTCGGTGCAGAGAAATTGGCACGGTTGGTGCGTGTTAAGGATCAAACGAGTTCCAATGCCAGACTCCAGACTGCAGCTCCAATGCTGGAGCCCGAGTCGAAGCCCGTCCTGACAACTTGATAAAGATTTCATGCCTTTGATTAATATGTTAAGTGTCTCTACACAGAAAAGCAAACGGCCAAACGGGATTTGCCGGCAAACACCAAACGCCAAAGGCAAAGAAAAAAAAGGAAAGACCAAAAACCGAGAAGGAAAAGCAGGAAAATCAGGCATCACGCACGATACGAAGGTGTCCGGAGTCCAGAACATGACAATAAATCAACTGCAAGTACAGGCGGATGAGAGGGGGCTGGGCTGGGCTGCTCCGCTCCGCTCCGGTGATAGCACTCTATGCCTGCTCTAAGGTGAGATGAAAAAGAGGCTGGCAATGTTCAGTTGATTAATCAGAACTGACAACGAAAACATGGACACATCAGGAATGTATTCGTTTAATTGAAATCCCTGTGCCACAAGGGATTTGCCATAAATAATTTACATACATAAAAACTATCAGAAACTATAAAAAGGGAAGCATTTCCGTGTACTAAAGATACATTCACATGTATGAACATTCATATGTAAATACATGCATATTTCAGATGAAATGGTTTTGGTTGAATTGATCCAAAACTATTTTGTGTTCACCAAATGATTCAGATAATTGAAACTAATCGTGTGCATATCTCGTCATATTTGTGTTCGTTCAATCAAGCTTCTGCCAATAGCAGTTTTAATTTATACTTTTGTTAGGCAGCTGCCGTGGAGTTTGTCTACTCAATACTCAACTTACTCGAAAAATCATCTTCCAAAATGGTTATTTCCTTCATCTTTAATATGTTCTAGGATTCTTACGGGGATAAACAGCTATGATATAGCATCAGAAAGAAATCGTACTCAGGAAATGAGGTTAGGAACCCCTTAGATCGGGGGCACCTTGTTCGAGTCTCCTGTGCTTTACTTCTGCAAGCTGTAAATATCAGACCGTTTTTTCTTAGTGTTTTATACTTCAAAAAACACATTGCAGGATTAGGTAAAGTTCTGCCATCATTTGTTTAAATGCAAACCTTGATATGAAGCAAGAGTTGGACTGGCTTATTGGCTTCAAATCGTGACTGATAAACGCTCGATTTCCCTCAATTTCGCATGAAAAAGTATTAACCAAATTAGCTCAATCTATAGGGAAGATTGCTAAGATAAGTACAATACATAATTCCACTCATATATTCCAGATCCTAGTACGAGATAGTATCATAGTAACATAGTATCCTATGGTATAGTCTGATACTCGTATACATTTTCGTATTATGTATATGTACGTTGTTTCCAAGCAGAAATATATTTATGGAAAATTTTCCAACTTAAGTTATACGAGTGTGTCGTAAGTGAACACAATTTCGAATGGTACGAGTATCCACTGTCATTTGGAAATTGATCAACTGCCGGAAAATGTTATTTTCGAAAGCAATCATTAACCGGCATAATTGTAGCTCAGGGGAATCGCCCCTCGGCGGCTGCTGGCACGCCAGAATCCCGGGAATAGTATAGTAAGTACGAGTATTTCTGTAATATAATCAAAAGTCGGATATAAAAATGGAAATGAAACGCTGGGAAAGCGCTACAGCCAGTGCCAGTGCCAAGAGGGTGGAAGGCAGGCTGTGGCAACCACCCCCAAAATGCATCCAGCAAACCGTGCAATAATGTCCTTAACACAAAAAGTCAAAACCAAACAAAATCTGTCCATGTGTGGGTGTATATGTGTGGGTGTATCTGTGTGTGTGTATGTGCTGTGTGTCTGTGTGTTTGGGTGAGAGCAGAGAAGCAGAGAGAATGAATGCCTGAAGCGGAGGCAAGCAAACGAGCGTAAAGCACGCGTCGAGAAGTTCCGCGCGCCCCAGCAAGCCCCTGTTCGGCCACCCACACAGAAAACCAGCACAACACACAGATACACACACATACTCGTACAAATGCATATATTTTTTGTATAGAGACACAACACACACACACCCATCCAAAGGATAGCAAGAAGAAGAACAGGAACAAGGACAGCAACGAGGACAGCAGCAGCAGCCCATCAAGGAGAAGAAAAAGTTTTTGCTGCTCTAACTTTCTGTCGCTGTTGTTTCCCTCTGCCTCTGCCTCCGCCTTCGCCTCCTCCACCGCCTCCATCACTCGGCCACTGCCACTCTGCCCTTTCCTTTCTACCATTTCACTCCCCTCCCCCGCGCTCTGTTCTCCTGGGCAAATATTTAATTTTTATAAAGCCTTCTAGCTCTCTCCTCTTGCCCTCTTTCACGTTCACTGGGTGTGTGTGTGTGTGTGTGCTAGCTTGTGTGCGGGTTAGAAATTTTCTCTGGGCTTTAAAAATATTAAAGGATAAACGACAAGCGCACATAAAATGTAAGCTTTATGACACTGAAGAGGATATCCCAAAAGCTTAGCTAGGCCAGGCAAGGGGAGGTCGAAGGACATTTTGGGGGCAGCTAGGAGATGGGTTCACCTCTCCTCTCCCCTTGCCGAAATGTATTATGGAAACTTTATAAATAAGTGAGAGCGAACACAAATAGGTTTCTTCATTAAATGCGTGACAAGAGAAGAGCTTTGCGTGTGTGTGTGTGTGTGTGTCGTGCTCCTCCAATGCCAGGCATAACGGTATCGTGGGCCGTTCATTAGGCAAGTGCCATTGGGCGGTGTACATGGCAGGCAGTGTGACCAGAGTCAAGGAATATAGGGGATATGTTGATAGAAATTGTGGAAGCAGCTCCCGTAGGACCTGCTCTATAGGACCCAGCCTTCAGAAGAAATATTATTGAAAAATAATCTCCAAAAAGTTTTAAACAAGCAGAACCCTTGCCGCAAACCCCACCGAAAATCAGTAAAAGTTCCCCTCAAAAACCAATCCAAACGGAAAAAGGTTGCTCAACTCTTTGGCAGCTCTGGTCACCCTAATCCAGAGCATACAAAATGGAGTTGGTTGCCTCTCGTCGACACTGTACGTGTGATGTGTTGCGGCCTCATCGCTGTGTGCGTGCAAAGGGCTTGCTTGCCGCTTGCCGCTTGCCACGGCGGCAGCACTCAGTTCAGTTCAGTTTCCTCGTATTCGTATTCGTAGAGCGCACAAAATCCCAAAAATAAAGGTAAAAGAAGAGAAGGAAGAGAACGGGGAAAGGGACGGAACGAAGCGGAAAAGGCAATTTCGAAAAATGCTAAAAGGGCCCGAGGACGACAACGACAACGACATCGACAGCAAGGACGAGGGCGAGGACGAGGACGAGGTTGAGGCCGAACCCGCCACGAACAGCGGAAACATGTTCAATTATCGGAATGGTTTGTTGTTGTTGCTTCTACCCCGATGGAAAGCGGACCGGAGACACACAGGCACAGTAGTCCCAAAGCGATAGAGAAATAGAGAGCTACGAAAAGAGAGCAGGAGAGAAAGAGAGAGGCACAGCCCCATGGTCCTGATAGTCCTCCTAGACCAAATGGTTCGGGGTTAAGTTAAATTCATGCAATGCGGTCTCGTCCTCGTCCACGTCCTCTGCCTCTGCCTCTGCCTCAAGCACCCCTTTCACAGAGGGGAAAATTTGCTGTGGATGGATGGATGGATGGACTGAGCACTGTGGAGTAGTGTCGGGTGGGGTGGGGTGGTGTGGCAAGCACTGTGTGCAACATATGGAATTGGCGTGTCGAGTGTGACGAGGTCGTCGGTCGTCATCCTGCTGCTACTGTGTTGTTTGGGTGCTCCCAAAAGTGGGCTGAGCAGAAGCAGAAGCAGAGAGAGAGAGAGAGAGCGAAAGAGAGACGTACATAAAACACTCAACACGGCAACCCAACCCACCCACGCACCATGGAGCAAGCACATGGAGCACACGTCACTCGTGAGCTCTAAAGCGCCCCTGGGAATTTGCCAGATACACTCGTAATTTATTTTAAATCTCGCCCGGTTCGCTCGCTTTAAATGTAAATCATTTATTTATGCCCATTCCCATTCCCCCCTCCTACCATATCCGTGCACCCGTACACCCTTTCAAAGCTGTGCAAAATGTGGCATCATTTCGGAAAACAGATCTTAATTAGCTGACGGGAGCTGCCTAATTGGCGAATGGAAATATGGCTGGGCCGTTGGTCAATCATCTTGAGGGGAAAATACTCGCTTGAGTCTTAACCGAATTACTTTATAGTTAGTTAGTGGATGCCATATTCTCTAGGGGGGGAAGGAACGACAATATATATTTAATTTTTGTATGCTGGTTGTGTATCTATGGGATTTGTGTGAGAAGCTTCGACTGTGGCATCTGCTAAAAACTAAACAGAACCGATTGAATTTGAGACCGACTGAAACAATGTCCAGAGTCTTTCAGAGGAACTCAAACAGGAAAACATGGGACAGGCTTTATCTGTTGTATTTAAGCAAAGTTTCTATAGGTATGTTCTGCCCAAGGCCCGAGTTATATAGTAATATCATTTACTTTTCCAATAGATGAGTGATTATTCCCGATCCGGCTGCCGTTACCACATTTTATCTAATCCGGAATACCTCTGAATGGGTTACGGGGCTGCTGAATCGACACAGCAGGTTGCCAGGGGCCGCTGGCCAGGGGTGGCCTGGCAATTGACATTTAACGTTGGCTGGCTCTGACCCTGCCACCCGTTTTCCATTCATTTTTTGTGTTCGTTGTTGTCGGTGGTGCAATTAACCGCAAAAGGTTTCCTTTTGTCGCTCGTCCAATCTCCCGCTCCCATTGTCCACGAACCCCCTGAACGGACACCGACCAACAAATATATGATTCTCGCTCCTGCTGCCGTTGTATTCGTTGTAGCAGATAGAGCTAGGGCCGTAGGCCGTATACCGTATACCGTCCGTCGCAGTGCTTTAAGTCACGAAATAATAATAGACCTGGCGCCCTGGCATAACTTTAATGGCAGAGTTATTAACTTTTGTGCCCTGGCCGTGGTGTGGAGTGTCCCCCGAACTGGCCATCGATTTGATTGTTATTGTCCTTCCGATGACATTAACTGCGTATTACTATTATTATATTATATTTTATTTATTCTTACGATATTACTTCTCCTTCAAGGAGGCAAAGAAATGTAGCAAGTGGGGAAAAATGTGTCATAATCATACCAATTACTGTGGAAGTTATATCCCCTAGGCTTATTCTTATTTTTGGGAAACTAAAAGGAATGGAGGATTAACTACTTTTTTAATCAATTGCAAAGAAAAGACAAGTTTAAATGCAAAAATTGCCTGTTCTTTCTAACATCAAATGTCAAGTTTACACCAGCAGCAATCACGGAAACATGCAATTTCCTGGCAGTTAACTTTGTTGCACATTTGCATCTGTTCACGACAGGAAGCTGAAGAATCTATGCCAACTTCAAGCAGTCCAAAGTTCAAGGACGAATAAATATATCCTTTAAGATTCCTCTCCCATGTTTAAATACGCTGATAAAGCTCTACTGCCAACCAGTTAATCCTGTATTGACTTATTTCGTACATTTCATTCCAATCCAGTTCATTAAATTGCGGGAATCCAATCCAAACAAGTTTGTTTCGATCATCACGACACAATTTCGCACAAAATTCTTGAAAATTTTAGCTCAATTAAGTTGCAATTCCACAACTGCAGCGGAAGTCCCTGCCAATTCTGGAACGCTTTTCGATGCCAATTTCGCCCATCTGGCGGGCGGCTCTTCGATTGCCAAGTTCGTTCGCAAGTAGTTCTCGAGGAATAAACTTTTGCCGGCCCTGTCGCATATTTGTGGCAATACAAAGGGCATTGCAACTGTGTGTGGAGTGTTTTTTGGGCACAGCAAACATTACCTAATCAGACTTTCAGTGCTCTACGTGTGGGGAGGGGTGTGGGGGGAATTTTATCAGCCGGCAATCAATAATACGAAATAATGGGAAATGCATTAATGGGCTGGACGGGCTGGGCTGGCCAGTGCGCCATAAACTGAAAATTGAATGCAAAAATGCAAAGTCGTAAAGCGAAAAGAAAGTCATAAATTAAATAATTAATGCAATAAAATTTTATAAATATTGCAAATGTGTGTTTTTTGTTGCGCCCAGCGTGAGGTGGCAGCGCCCAGCGGCAGCAACCAGTTTATGGCAGCGCAGAAGAAAAAAAATTAAAACCACACACAGATACTCATATATACATACATATGTACACATATAGTAGATACAGATACGAAACGAACAGAACAGAATGCCGAGTGCAGGGAACAACAACAACAACAACAGGCAACAGCACGGGACAAATGAATGCAAAAAGGCCTTCGGTTTATTTGCAAGTACAACAGCCGCAACAACAGCAACATCAACATCAACAGCCACAGGCACAGACACAGGCAACAGCGACAATTGAAATCGAAATGCAAATTAAAACGATCAATAAAAATGCGAATATGTCAATAAAAGTCAAATGCAAATTTGTCTCATGTTTCGAATGCATGCCGAAAAAAGGCAGCAACAGCAATCAAGGGTCGCGTTTGGCGGGAACTGAACAGAAACAAAATGAAATGAGATCAAATGGGATCACCCCGGGCTAAAACTATGTTCCAAATGGCCGAAATTAGGGTGGCAGGAAAAGTAGGGTTTGGCTTATACCCACAGGGGTTGACCTAAGGAGGCTTGAGCAACTCCACGCCACTCACAGAATTAAAACATTCAGCCCTACTTAGTTGTCAGTGAAGCATCTAAAGCATATAGCAATAGACCATACAACCTCTGTAAAAATTACTTAAAATAAGCCCAATAATTAATTTAATAATAATTCTAAGACCCACGCTATTGATAGTCATTCTAAAAATTAAAATGCTATCCCCATAAAGTACACAAAATGAAACATCGTTAATATTCATTTTAGAAACGAAGGAAAAAAATGTATCGACCCTTTTTGGGTTCACTTTAGCCTTTCCTTCTTTTCATCAAAGGGGGCGTGGGGGGAACTGTGCTTTTTCTGGATTATATTTCAGCATTTTTACTATTATAATTTCTATTATATTTCATATTCCCAGACTGACATCTTTCAGACAAATAAAAGGGAGAAACGATGAAGGACTCAGTGGACACCCACTCGCTATGTTCAAACGAAAAAGAAAATAAAAGTTCGCTGATGTGCGAATAGTAAGTTAAGGTTTTGAGAATAACACTTGACAAGAGTTTCTCCAAAACGTACAAATGGAAAAATTCTTATTTAGTATTTAATAAAATGTTCAACCAATTGTTATCCTTGTTGAATGAATTACTTATAGAATTTCAGTAGGGAAGACCCAGATCTACTCATTCATTCACCTTTGCCTGCTGCGTGGCAGTGTCTACAGAATATTTGCAGGGTTTTTTCAGTTCTCCTGTCCCTATACGATTGGAGGCAAAACAAAAAAGTGTTTCATTTTCAACATTCATATAAGACACATTTATTCGGATTCTGTTACTATTGTTAGCTAAAATTCACATTGGCTGGGCGTTCCTCATTTATCTGCTGCTTACCAAACTTTCGGGTCAAATGGGGCTGGGGCATTATCTTCTTGTCGTTCATGTCGGGTTGGTGTTGCTAAAAAGATAAGATGAAGGCGGCCATGGCGAAGCGATGCAATGCAAAGAACAAGGAGAAACTGGATTCCCTCTCCTGTCTCGATTCCCTGTGGATGCCGATCCGCAGATCAACATATTTCCATTGCACAGCAGCAAGGTAAATCATCTGAAAGATTATGCCCGATCGGTAGGTCATCAATCTGAATGGGAACATCTTGTCCGAGGAACATCTTGTGCTCGGAGCTTTGCAAGGAGCTCCAGCTGGCATCCGGAGAGTCGAGTGATGCTTGCTCTGTAGCACTTCCACTGGCTGCTACTCCGGAGGAGCATGGTCCTGCCCTGGTATCGTCTGAAGGAGGCGAATTGGGATTACAGTCCCCCCGTCTTTGACCAGATACCGCCATAAGCCTTTTATCAAGTAGACGATGAAAGATCGTCAGGATCACCCACATCTATAACCCCAAGCTGAATCACATTTAGAGCCGCGACTTGACCAAAACGCTGACCACCAAAATATATATAGAATCAAGGGACGAGGAATGGCCTCGTGTCTGGCGCCGTTCTGCTCGTTGCCCCCATCCCCCATCCGCCGAAGAGGAATTTCAATGAGGCTGCAGTTGCATTTTGTGGGTATTTTTGTGTTGGGCTCTCTTTTTATTGCTGTTGTTGTTTGTTTGTTTCTTATGTGCAGTGTGCGATGTGTATCTGCCGGTGTCTGCCTGGGCTGCGCTACCCCCATGGGTGTTAAAAATCGGGGAGCGAATAAATTGTCGTGCACACACACAGTCATGCATGCAGCGTAGCGCCCACTTAGCGGAGATACAGATACATGAGATACCCAGATACATGCAGCGATACCTCTCGGCCAGGCCAAGGAGAAAGAAGACAGAGAAAGAGAGAGATAGAGAGAGCCAGCAATCATCATCATTAGCAATTGGCGATGTGGCAGTCCAACGTCTTGGCGTAGGCAGGCAGCGCCGCAAATGGGGCAACGTCGACAGCGACACGAAGCGTACGCCGCGTCGTTGCTAATTAAAAAATGCTCGCCACAAAATAAAACTTAATTGCGATTTCATTCGAGATACGAGGGAGACGATGATGCCACAGAGAGTGGGGCAGGCAGCGCAGCTCGTTGCCGGGCATTGGTGCAGCAATTGAGAATATGCGGCCAAAGAGGATGATGAAGCACGGCACACGCGTCGTATGAGCGACAATTGCAAATGCAACAACGTTGACAACGGAAGAGAGGCCGACAGAGAGACAGAAGAAAAAGCCCCAAGAAGGAGAGCAAGAGAAAACTGAAAGCAGAACAAAAAGTGGCTGCTGCTGGCCCAAAGTTGCACTTTAAACAGGTTCGGGCTGGTTGCTGCCTCTTCTGGTTGCAGTTGCCGCTGCTTCTTCTTTTCTTTTTTTTGTTTTTTGATACATTGGCCAGCAGCACCCAGTGGTAGTGCTCTAGCGGGAAAGAGGGAAATCAGTGGTGCGGTGGAGCGGTGGCAAGGTAGCCCGAGCTTGCACTTAATAAAGATTGATTTACACACATTGCGGTCTGCCGGTGGGGAGCCGCAGCCACAGCCGCAGCCTCTGCCACTGGATGGAGACGGAGATGGAGCCGCGGTCGTCCGGCTCTACCCAGTAATGCGCAAAGTTATTGCAAATGAAGCTCACTCACTCTCTGATTATTGTGCGGGGAAAACGGTGGAACGGAGAGAGTAGTGCAGAGAAGAGCGGAGGGGACGACGGGAAAGCCAAAAAGAGGAGAGAACAGAGATAAATCAGCTTTTACACGACACCTTTTCTACCGACGGCTATCCGGCCGAGCGGACTCAATTTCAACGGTGCAAAATGCATCATACAATAGCAAGGAGCTAGGAGAGAGGAGAAGGAGAAGCAATGCAGAGCAAATCTCAGCTAAGCTTGAAAGCAGGACGGACGGAGGGGAGATTTCGGTGGAGACACAATGCATTGAATGGGATGTTTGTGCCCCGCCGCCGCGAGTCGCCGCGAGTCGCCGCGCATCCCATAGCGTTCAGTTGAGCGTTCCGTGGCTGCCTCCAATCAAACTGACGCCGGCAGTGCCGCCGATGCTGGCGCTGTTTGCCATTTATGGCCTTGATTTATGTATCGCAGCTACTGGATCTCTAATGCGGACACGGACACAGCTACACAGATACAGATACAGCTACAGATGCACACAAACATACACACACACACACATTCCGAATTTATTTTGCAATTTATTTCATTTCCTTGGCTTTTCGATTGCCATGAGGCAGTGGCAGAGGCAGTGTCCAAAGACGAAGTGGAGTCGAGTCGCTGGGGAAGAACGTCAAGAGGCAGGATGCATGGATCTCAAGATTCGCTGTGCTGCATTGCCAGTGAGTGTCTGCCTGCCTCCGTTTTGTATTTGTATCTGTGTGGGTCTCTGGTGAGTGTCTCAGAATTTTTCCATTGAATTTGGAACCAGAAGGTACGGACTACGAGTAGCACATAAAGAGAGCCTACACACGTGCAAACTTATACCTAAAACGAAGATTTTAAATTACACTCAAGATTCGAAAGGGGCAAACATTGCATTAGTGTCCCCGCCCGATGAAGGGACCCCGCTTTGTGGTCATACGAGCATCGCAACGGATTAGATTGGCACATCGTTAGCCGCCGTTTAACAACCCCAAAAACAAAACTGCTCTGGCTCTGCCTTTGGCTCTGCTGCTGCCCATCCATCCATCCTCCCAGCGACGAACAACCAACCCCCGAAAGGCCGCCTCTAGCCGACTCGCAATAATACCCGTACACCAAAAAAAAAATAAAAACCAACCAAGTCGAGGACTTCTACACGGAAGAGGACAAAACAAATTCAATTTGAGAGTTAAGATGTTAGATACCGCACCGAGGGCTCAGCAGCAATCGTCTCCAGGAGTCGCCATTGTTGTTCAGTTTTCGAAAATATCCACAGCAGGAATCCACTTCACTTGAGTTCGTTCTGTGCTGAAAGGGAATATCTAGTTATCAATCAATGTACTTACATTTTGTGAGCTTCTATTAGCTCTTTAGAGCAATAAACTTGTAAATATCTGACAAAGTTACAAGCCAACGGATAACCCCTTGGCGTTATTGAAATATCTAGAGAACAAATAAAGTATTCAGAAACATTTTTATATACAAATTTGTACTACATTTAAGCTGGAATAAGCTTTAATACATAAACAGAAAGGTATAATTGTAGATATTTACTAAGCATATTGGAATATTTATTACATTTTGCGACCTCATACTAATACTTTCCTTTGATTGAGCTCTGCAGGATATTTACCACACTAATGTGGCAGACACTAATGATTCGAAACTAACGGCACCGACCAATTGAGAAAGTTATGGAAATAATTGTCAATAACAGCCAACCATGCAAAATATGCTTTCAGCCAATACCGTGCTAATAAGTTTATGACTTTAAAGGTTTAAATATATGTATTAGTTTTGCATGCTATGCCCCCAAAGTATTCAAAGTTTTTGCGAAATTAAAACCCAATTACTGAGAATCGCAAAAGCACTCTAACTTCTGGCCACACACACAAATCGAGTTTACTTAAAGCCTCGACGATCAAGCAAACTTAGTTTATTGTTAGTTGACTGAAACCCCGTGGCCAGGCAGCTTTTCGCAGTTCGGGCTAAATCCACACAACACCAAACAAGCCTAATGAGGTCCAAAGTGGAGTAGAGCTAAAATGTTGTTGAAATTTTTGTGTTTTCGTTTTTTTGGCAAATGCAAATGGGTTCTGGCGACGAACGCGATGAACTTGACAGATCCCATGGAAGTGGCAAACATTTGTGCACATATTTGCCTATTTAAAAGCGTCTCGTATGCCGTATGGAAAAAATTTAAATGGAAATTAAGTTGGCAAACCTTGAAATGCTCTCGGCCCGTAGCTGAACCCGAACCCGAACCTGAACCAACTACTTTCCACTTCAACCTGTTCAAAGACAACGCTTAGGTATGTATGTACATATGTATGTATATAAGAATATATATAAATACTATATGTGTATGTATATGCATAGCTAAAGTAGATTCTTCAGATTGCAGACAAACAGAAATTGCTTTGGAACATTTCTGCCATCTCATGGAATTTAACACGCACCGAACAAAGAAGTTTTCTACTCTCTAGACAGGCCGCAAAAACCTCAGACATCAAACAGAATGGACGGACGGACCGACGGACGGACAGTGGAAAACATCGCATCGCATCGCATCGCAAAAAGCTGCTAAATAACATCGACACAACATAAAGAAGACGATGAAGAACGATGAAAATGCCAAAATACAAAAAGCGAGAAACTGAAACTAAATCTATAAAAGCTTAATGTTTGTATGTACATATGTAAATATGTGCACATATAATCTAAATATGTGTAAGTAAATATATACAAATACAGTTGCGGGTAAAATTATAGTATGCTTTAAGATAAATCAACAACAAATTAACCTATTTTTTATTACACTATATTATTACAACTTTGACTTGTGGTGCAAATCGTATGTCTTTTGCTTTAATACGTATGGAATAGTACAGGAAAACTCGAATAGGGAATGTTTGAGTTAGTGAAGCTCAACCGCATTCAGAATATTAAATAGTCCTAAATAATGTAAGGGACTATCGCATAGTGGAAGAAAGAGAATTCACATAAATTATCTGA